TTTATAAAACAAATCTGGTGTACAGTTTTTATTAAGTATGCACTACTATTCATTTTTGGTAAGTTACCTTGCACACTTCCTTGTAGTTGACTTCTATACGATCTCATGCTCATGCTATCACTACCACAGGCTGTTTTTCTCTCGATTCTGATGTTTTTATCTCATATATCTTGCTGGAAAGTTGGATACCAATATTTTTTTTATCATGTGCTGCAGAGTGCAGACTCTGATGTGATATGAGCTGTAAATTTCTAAGAGGTAAATTGATCTAGTTCTCTATTGTTGCCATTTTTTTCTGCCTACATAACTGGTTTTTGCCTTCAAAGTTACAGATCTTGTATTGAGCAGCAGCGGTATTGGTGCTTCTGAAGTAGTTGCTAGTCACATTATTCTTAGAAAACAAATCTGCACAATCATCGATCTCAACATTATTCTTAATTTTTTTGGGAGAGAACTAAATCTCAACATATATTCTAATGAGAAATCGTCGATCTCAGATTTGTCCAGGGGCTGCTGCCATATCCTTCCAGACCTCACTTAAACAATAGACATTTTAAATAGTCAATAAGTTTTTCCTCTGATATCTTGCCTTACATCACTATAACTGTGATGATGTTCTTCTCATAAAAAAAAATTGAGACTTTAGCTGTTGCATAATTAGTAGGGTGTGATGATATTGTATGGACTGCTGTGTGTGATAAACTGCTTTAGTTACCATTAGAATGCTTGCTAGTTACTGTTTTACTAGGCCACTTGAGGTACAATTCTACTTTGGTCAATTATCTGATTGCAACCTTATGCCCAAAACATGTATGGATCATATTGGTACTTTACTTGTAGCTCATTTATCAAAATTTTCAAATAGGCATACCACCAGAATTAACTAGCCCTTTTGAATCACAATACCTGTTACATCACTGGTGATATGGTTACCAGCCTGCAACTAGACCATTCTGAAAATTTTATGTTCCTACAAGTACTGATTTACTATATACACAGCAAACATGAATATAACTCTTGTTTCCATATTTCATGGTTCATGTGAGAAATGTAAATATATATGTTCTGGTCGAATTTGAATTGTAAATTTGTTTTTTTTTGCGGAAAAATGTACTGTAGGGGTGGTTCTAGACTGAACCGCTTCTACAAACAGGTATTATAGGGGCGGCTGGTACTACAGCTGTCCTTACAAATCAATTTATAGGGGTGACCAGCCGCCCCCTACCTTCAAATGCATGATTTGTAGAGACAGTATGGTAGGGGCGGCTAGCCAAGCCGCCTCTACAAAGCCTCACCAGCCGCCCCTAGAAACCATTCCTGTAGTAGTGTGTTATCAAGAGTTCCCTTCAAGCACTTCGCATTGGCGGATGTAGTCTTGAGACCAATGCGAAGTGTTTGGAGGAACTCTTGATGCCAACAAGCATTTTTTCCCAAAATAGTTGGTTTAGTAGTTTGTAGCCGGTTGCTTCCCAGTGTTCCTCCCAAACACTTCATCAGCTAGGCCATGCACAACGTGGACCTACTTTAGGTGGCTAGTGAAGTGTTTGGGTGAACTCTAGGTGGCACTTCGACAATTTGCACACCAAGTCAGCAATGAAGGTAGAGGTTAGTAGAGTCACACTTGGTGTCTTCAGGAGTTCCCTTCGAGCACTTCACATGGAGCATTTTTTGTCTTGGAGAAAGCATAATTTGATGCATTGTGAAGTTCTTGGGGGAACTCTTGATGTCAACAAGTATATTATGAATGTGATACGACGTTTCTCATGATGCACTTTCTCTGTGGGTCAAGTAGGAACACATGGCTAGTTAACTTGTCTGTTGTCACCAATTCACTATATGTTCCTTTCTAGCACTTCACACAATACTTTACTCAATCATTTCTCATGCCATATTGTTTTTTTTTAACAAATCAAGCAGGGGAGCTGCCAATTATATTAATAAAGAAGAAGGTCCAAACTGGACAAACAACGGTCTCGAAGGGGATACGACAGAAAACATTACTAGTAGCAATAGCCATAACGACTAACTAATACAAATCTACTAATAACAACTTTCTCTCAACGTGATCAAACCAAACAATCACAACAAAGTCAAACCCATAAAGAAAGGACAAAGAAACCACAACCATCATGTCTTAGGCATTCTGCATAGTCTTACATTGCATCCTCATTGAGCTTCTCATCATTCCTAGCATTGCTCAAATCTTTGAACACATTACATTGTGCAAGAGGTCACTCTGATGAAGCATTGATCTATCATAGGACTTACATTGTGTCTTGTTGTTGTGGTCAATGCAGAAGTGGGATGTATAGGAAGAGGGCATGCGAGATCTTTGCCCCCCCTAGAAAGCTTTCCCCACAAAAATCCTAGGGACATGTTTCCCTACCATTTTTTGTGCCTTTCCCTAGGAATTCCACCCTAGGGCGAAACTAGTGGATTCCAGTAGTGAGCTAGATGGAGTGGTCAGAAGAGAAGTTGCCTCTATCATTGGATCCCGTATCAACTGAGACTCTTCTATGTTGACCTTGGTCGTGGAATGGGTAGGGCAATCATCGATGGTTATAAGAATGATGGGTTCCTTAATTGTCACATGTGTATCAACTTGCTAATCATTAGAAGCATTCTCTACCAAAACAACATCCTCAATAGAGGTAGCATTCTAAATCAATGTCTGATATGTCAAATCGATAGTGGAGATCACTGAGGTCACCTCAATGCTTGCTCCGTGAGTGTCTTTTGATGAATCTCTATGCCAGCCACTTCTATGGTCATCTCAACATGTGCAAATACATACCATTTTGTAGACAAGAGTCATATATAAAGTATGATCTTGCGGTGCCAAGTGCAACAAATTGTTAACTTGCTTCACATGAATATGTTTCAATGTGAAACATTTCAACATGGAAACATTCAAGAGGTATAAAATTTGTGTTTGGTTCATTAATTCTTAGCATTTCCTGCAAGGATTCGCATAGGAGTTGATTATGTTTTACTCACTTCCTGTTTCAGTAACTCTCAGAGAGTCGATTCAACTTGCAGCTGTGCCGAAAGTTTTTGCGACCAAAATTGGTAGTTTTGTGTAAGCTGGAAAAAACCAGGTGACCTGATTTTCCAAACCAGGTGGTCCGGTTTTGGTAAGCTTGAAATTAGTGATCGGACTCCACCGTTATATAGGTCTCATCGAGATGGTCGAAATATATGCGTGGAACGTTTAATTTAGAGCCCAAATAAGAGAATTACGATCTTTGGGAGAACCTCCCCTCATAAAACGGGTGAAAACCGGGTGACCCTTAACTGTCCAAATTGCATTTGAGTTGGTTAAGATTGCAAATCAGGATGTACTGAACTCTAGCTCAGAAATAAACCTCTTACCCTATATATAAATATAAAGGACCATGGCTAATTGAGGGTATTCAATATCATAATTTTCTCTTCAAGCAATAAATTATTGTTCTTCCTTAACCTCAGCAGTGATCAAATTCGCTCTAGCTAACCAAACGATGCTAGACCAACCCCAGGTGCATTTTTCCCATAAGGTCCCTGGCTCCCGGCCGAGTGCTCCTGTTTGATGCTGAAATATACTAAGATAGGGTCATCTTGTTTGGGTCATCTGGTTTTGCCAAATGCGTTGTACACATGACGTGCTCCAGTATTTGGCGGGCACATGGTGGCAGTAGAAACAAAGTGGGGAAAAATATGAAATAAGGTCGACAAAGCCGCGCGATCCATCCCGCCGACACTCGCCGGGGGGAAGAAGAAAGGGTTGGGGTTTTGGGGTTAGAGAATCCACTCACTGGCAACTGTAGAAGAGGCTTTGGGGGCGTCGTGACTTGACGGTGGTGACGGGCGAGACAGCAGCTGGGCAGCGGGAGATGGTGGTCGGAACGGGGGTGACACCCCCATCCGCCGACGCGGCCTTCATGCGGGGTGGAGAGGAAAGGGTTGGGGTTTCCGGGTTAGAGAATCCACTCACTGGCAACTATAGAAGAGGCTTTGGGGACATCGTGATGGTGGTGATGGGCAAGACAGCAGCCGGGCAGCGGGAGATGGTGGTCGGAACGGGGGTGACTAAGGAGTCACGATGCTACTAATTAGGGGAGGACGGGGCAAGGCACGGGAGGCGGTGGGAGCCACCAGCTATGTGTGGTGGAAGCAGGGGTGGGCGGCGGGGGGGGGGGGGGCGAGGATGCGCGCTCCTCAAACACATGATATGTTGCGCGTGTTAACTTCGTCCCAAAACTGTCCGGGGCAACTTGATAGTTATACCAGGTAAACGGAAGAACTGTAGCAAATCTGACAAAACTATCAACGATCCTTGATCTGTTCAACAAAGAGAATCAAAAAGAAGATATTCCAAGCATATTTGATTCCAAGCACAAACAAAATCAGATGTACATCCAGATGCAATTTAATTACACTAAACGATTGCACCGGGGTAGCGCGGTCAGACTATTTTGCCTGACTTATCATTGCAGCAGTGAACTCTCTATATCACATCTAGTTTCACATGGTGTTGTCAGATCGGCAAACATGTTGTCCTCCCATTTTTCGCCCACAACACCACGTACGGTCCAACAAACATGAGCACAATCCCCACAAAGCTGCAGCAAGGAAACGATATGAACATCATTAGGTGTAAATAAGTGTGCTGGTTAGTTGGACTCGGCTCAGAATTCAGAGCATGCAGCAGCATTGCATCCCTGTAATTGGCGTGCATTACCATCCCAAGCTGATCCATTGTCCAATGAAAATGAAGGAGATGAACGTCGAGAAGACCGTCTGAAATGGGTTGAACATGGACACGAGTACAGGCCCCTTGCGCCCAATGCTTGATACCTGGAATGCCGTGCACAGGCCGATCACCACGCCTCCCTACAGTAGCAGAAGCAGTCGTTTCACTTTCTTCAGTGTTTCATTGCAGTTTTTCAAGTTACAAGAACGTAGCATATCATGTGCTGAAAGTCTGAATTCAGTAGATATAGATAGATGTGTATGTGTACCACAAGCACAATTTCGCCAATGATCCTGCTGAGGTTGTCAGCAGTCCCTGCAGTGAGCTTCCCCTCCATCAAGACCTGGACGATAGCACTGAAGATCGACCCCATCATGGCGGTGATGGAACAGATAGACAACGGTGCAGGGAATCTCTTCAGAGCTGCAGCCTAGACCAGCAGCACCACATTCAGCTAGAAATATAATTCAGACGCACAGAAGAATTGCTTACTCTACAGACCCCTGACAGTGACTATTGCTTAATTACCTGCAGAACAGTGTTGCAGGCGAAGATTATGACCCCAGTCAGAAGACAGAAACATCCAAGTATCCAATCGTGCCTTCCTTTGCCATCTGAGAGCTCTTCATCATCGCCGGGAACGAATACGCTGGGAGTAGGGTTCTTCAGGAAGCTAACGCACATTGCCCCACTGAGGCACACCAGAGTGCCCAAGATCTTCGCTCTGGTGTACTTGCACTTCCAGTCGAACCTCTCAAACCTAATAACACATCAACAGTTAGGACTTAGGACTGCACATGTATCCATGTTTAATTTTGTGAACTGACGTTCATGTTTCAGTAAAGTTCAGTCTGTACAACACTGACCCTAGGTAGGCTGCGATGATGAAGATGAAGCCAGGGCAAAGATTAGGCATGGCGGAGGCGATCGCTGGCGAGGTGCGTGCAACACCGAGCATCATGATGACTTGGTATATTGACACCCTACACAATATGGGATGGGACTTCAAACTTGTTTAATCAAGTGCCTAGCAGCAGTTTGCTAGATGTTGGAATCAGCCACCAAGTAGTGTTACACACCGAGGGATTAATAATGTACAAGGTACCAAGAAGAAGCCATGAATTGTGGATGCTGAGTCTAGATCGATGCACCAAATCGAACATCCAAGCCATATATTTACAGCAGATAAATGCCACTACTACTGTAGTACTGCAAGCGTTTATTTGAGTTTCTCTCTTTCAAGGACTAAAGATAACTTCTGGATATATATCTCTTTTAATTATGATTTTCAGCCAACGAACGATATTTTTCTCTCACAACAAATCAGCATAAGCATTAACATAAACCAAATTTCAGCGAAACGAACAGGGCTAAGCCAAATCAGTATAAGCTATTTTGGGGAAATCAAGCATGGCATGCACAAAAGTATTAAAAAAATAAAAAAATATACTTCAGAGGAAATTGATCTCTCACCCTCCTAGTGAAATGATGATGAGCTGAACAACCAACATGGGGCTCCACACTTTGGGCCATTTCTTCCTGTAGTCAAGGCCATGCATGAAGGGACTAAATCAGCTAAATCTTAATTAACAAGCAACAATTTAAAGTCCCGCTTAATAAAGCTCCGGCTAACGAGAAATTATTTTTATTTTTTATTTAAAAGAACTAGGAGCTGATGAACCAAACGTTCGCGTGCCACTGCCATAGAGAGAGACGCAAGCATCCACCCACATACGACGTACATACCTCTCGAGGGCGAGGGCGAAGGGGAGGACCACGATGGAGGAAGCGGCGCATGCGACGACGATGATGAAGAGGGAAGGGACGCCGGCGGCGAGCAGGGCGCTGAGGAACATCATGTAGAGGCCGTAGATGCACTGCACGGCGAAGAGGCCGCATATGGTGACCACGTCGGGGCACGACATGGACATCGACACGCCGCCGCAGCACAGCATCCTCCTTGATCGATCCATGATAATATACTACTTATTAGGACTCTAGTACGTATACAACTCTCAGCTTCATCAGTATACGCGCGTGTGTTAGTGAGTATGCTCAGTGCTCGGACAAGTATATATATGTATGTAACGTAGCAGCAGGCACGATCGATGATACGCTAGCTCATTCTCGAGTGAGCGAGGCAGGATAAGAAATGTCAGCAGCAGAGGCCGGATGAAAACTTGGATTTGGATGTCAGAATGCTCGGAAATGCTGCTGGGTCGTCCGCGTCATTGGTGGCGGGCGGCGGAGTCGGCGACCTCAGGTGCTCCGACACATGTGCATGTGTGCATGCGAGAAGCGCCGACGTGGCACCAAACGTGGCGCCGCGAGGGTGGCCCCACGGACCATGGTCCATTCTGCCCACTCCTTTCCTGGGACCGGTACCTTTCTGGAGAACGATGAATGGATCGCTGCTGCTGCATGCTGCCATCCACAGGTGTATTTGCATCCCCCTGCATCGGCCGCACCATGCCCCAGCACTGCAGATCAGAACTCAAAACCCGTGTGATTCAGTGGCCAATGAGTGAACATCGCGGCCTCTTCATTCGGATTCCACGGTTTCACCAGAATGAGCTTGCTTATTTGGTGGTCTGGTCATGCAAGGTGGCAGACCCCAACCGTAATCAAGATCGATATTTGACTAGAGTAACAAGAAGCAAATCTTTTGTATTTATGTACAATTGTACATTCCAGTATCAATCATTGTTTCAATCTACAGGTTTTGGACATAGCTTACTATATAGTCCAGGCAGCTCATTGGCACATGCAAGTATGCAACCATGCTAACATTCCAGCGGTCAATACAAGAAGAGAAACAGACAGCACCCACGGCAGCGTGCCAGCGTCAAATGTAATCGCCCTGTACAATCTTTCTCGCGATGTACTTCCCCAAGTAATCGAACCCATGGGAGTAGAGAGCTTCGATGTCTGCACGCTTGCCCCTCTCCACCATCAGTGTCAGCTCAGTTCTGTGACTCTCCTACAACCGAAAACCACCATAAATCATATAGGCGCCTTAAGCTAAATTTTATGGTGTCACAAGGCCAAATGATAAAGCATCAGGGTTACCGGGAACAATACTAATTATTTAAATGATATCAGGTCATCCTTAATGTATAACACATGTTCTATTATTGGCCATGGGCGTATTAGTTCCATATTCAGATTGGTCAGGTACAAACACTAGATTCCAGGCAATTAAGCTTTTCCATGCCTGATGAAATTGAGGTCGCAGGTAATTCATACATGCTGCATGTCCAACACTAACATTTTGCCATGCGAATTATGCATTGTTGGCCGATAGGATCACCGGCTCAGGTGAGTGAACCACTCTCCGGTCTTGTCGAGCACCCGCTAGTGTTGCCGAGCTAGAAGAAGAAGGGAGAACAGAGCGTTGTCTGTCCCCACACACTATGACTCGAGCTAGAAGAAGAAAGGAGAACAGAGCATGCACGCACAATACAAGACACCAGCGTTGGCCGAAGCCTTGTCTGTGAGACGGCAAATCTGCGCTCTCTTTACTGAGTTGCCGTGGTAGTCTATTTATACAACTCTATCCATCTAATCTCAGTACAGCTGCCCATGCTATAACAGTAACTAGATAACATATATGGCTGACTCTGCGCCGGCCATTGCATGTGCCTACAGTGCTGCATGTGAGCAGATCGGCGCCTACCCCTGCAGCGGCTACAATATCACAGCAGAGGACCTTTTTGGCGCCGCTTTCCCCTTGCTGTGTTCACACAAGGTAGCAGTAGATTAGCTAACATGCATGTTGATTTATTGCAAGAGTTTCATATAAAATCTGAACTAGCAACATTCATTGGTCACTAGGTTGAAATTTTTCTGGTTACTTTTGCCCAAGATTCTCGCAGTTGGTTCTCATACTGCAGGTACATGGTCCCAAAGATAAATGTAAAAACAAATAGCTGACTTTTGACTCCATGTTCCCAAAATTTAATCTAATTTGAAAACTGCAGCTTCTGACACAACAGCATTACTTGAAAGTTGAGAAGCCAAATACACACCTGTAGGAACTTTGATGACAGCAAGCTTTTGGCAATCTGCAAATCACGAGGCTTCAGCACTTGAAACGCACTCTCAGGGATAAGCTGCAGATCATCTCCTCTCATCCCAAGCCATTTCACGTTGCAAGCTGAAAATGGAGAACAAGATTCACATGGTTCGGCAACATGCGCAGAGTAAGGATCTGATGATCACTCAAATAAAGTATCATATCTGTATGACTCCAGACCCATTGATATGCTTCCATATTTGTAAGTGCACATTATAGCAAGCCCTGCTGGGTTCCTGAAAAAACAAATCAGTGCTATCTAATATGGTTGAAAGGATATCAGTCAGGTATACTATATAGTGATGAGCACAGGAGAGGGGTTAACCAATCCACTAATGCAAAAATCGGCCTATTTGGAAATGTCGGGCTCAGTCGATGCAAGATAAATCTGTATCGTAACAGCAAAGACAAAGGGGATAAATACATCAGATAACCAAATATTGTCAACATTATCATAAAGAATTTGGATGCAAATTTGCTCCATTACATAAGCAAGTAAAACCTCCATAAGAAAAAAAGAAAGGCACAACCTTGTCGCAATATCAGGATATCCTTTGGCAGTGATCAGGATACAAGGAGCTATATTATTTCAAATTTAAAATTTGAATTTTAAAAATCTGAAATATATAATTTATAGCATCCTATTTCAAACAAGTAACCTATAAGCTAGAAAATTGATACATTTTTGTATTGCATGGAGACAAATCATTTACTAGATTATGGCAGTAAGATTGGTACCTTCTCATGGTAGCAAATGATATACCGAGCATCTGAACACAAATTTAGTTTGCTCAACAGGTTCAAACCAAGCCCTGTAATTAGTGGCCTGAAGCTCCAAGAATGGAGCAGTCAATCTGTTCTTCATCTGGTTCCTATCGCCGTTTAAACATGATCAGTTTAGGTGCTTTGAAATTTGAATTTTAAAATGACCTCAAATGGAGAAACAACCAATATGAAAGTTGTAGATCTCGAAAAGTTATGCAACTTTATAGTTGACAATTTTTCATTTGGAATCATCTACTATTTCGAAATTCTATTTGAAATCCTCGTTTTCCAAAGAAGTTTAATTTCTTTTTTAATGTCCGGCTAAAACTTGTAACTAGTCTTTCTCAAACAGTCGGCTAACTTTAAATTTGATGATTTTTTCCTAAAATTTTCTAAAATCATGACCTATCAATTTATTGTGTTCCAAATCTAGTCTCGGGCATTTTGGTCATCTTTTCATGTGAATTTGTTTTATCAATTCAAAATTTGATTTAAAAAATGGCAACTTCAAACAATATTTTGAAGTAGTAATAAATCCCCTTCATATGGGAAATTCATAATAACATAAAATTGAATAACTATTTGTATTCGATCTACTTGTATTTCATTTTGGTCATTTTTATATATTATGATATATATATATATAATATATATATAAATATATTTATATATATATATATATATAATTTTGAACAATGTTTACTACCACTTTGTTGGATGCAAATGACTAAAATAAAAGTTATGAGTCTCGCTCCTGCATGCAAAACTAAATGGAGACAACCAACTACGAGATGCCACTAACTTTTCAATTTATCCACCGGGAAGCATTTGTCAAGGAAATTTATGTTGATTCCAAACTAAAAAATGAAATTTCTAAACCATTATCAAAATGTCCTCAAATGTTGAGAAATATGAACAAAACGAGATCCATGAAGATCTCGAAAAGTTCTTTTTCAAAGATGTAATTGCAATATGACAACTTTTTAGTTTTGAAATCATCTTTGTCAACTTGGTTGTAACTATATTTGAATTTCTCAAATTTAAAATTTGAATTTTAAAATATAATTATAATTTATAGTATGTATTATTTGCATGTAATGACAACAAAATTGCATTATAAATTGTATATGAAAGCATTTTTGTATTGCAATTTTTGAGCTATATTTTTTTATTAAGCAATTTTCAATTTTCAGCCTATTTATGTTGAAGAAAATGTTAAACACTATTGCAGTAGCGTATTTAGCACTGGTTGCAATGAAGGCTGTATTTGATGAAGTTTTTTTTCAAATACGTACTTGCAATATATTGTACTATGAGTTGCAAGCACTTCTACAACACAATTGCAACTTGGCTGTAGCGTATTTAGCACTGGTTGCAATGAAGGCTGTATTTGATGAAGTTTTTTTTCAAATACGTAATTGCAATATGTTGTACTATGAGTTGTAAGCACTTCTACAACACAATTGCAACTTGGCTGTAGCGTATTTAGCACTGGTTGCAATGAAGGTTGTATTTGATGAAGTTTTTTTTTCAAATACATAATTGCAATATGTTGTAATATGAGTTGCAAGCACTTCTACAACACAATTGCAACTTGGCAGTAGCGTATTTAGCACTGGTTGCAACTAATTATAATCTAGTAGTTGCAACTAGGTGGTAGAGAGAGTTACAATCGGTAATACATTGACATGAAACTCGTTTAAACGATAAAAATATATCCATATTGGATCTAGTTTTGCTCAGAATATTTTTTTTTGAGTCGGATGCAACAAACGGTTTGTCACTCGGGGTTACGGTTTAGGAGAAAATTTGTTTCAAAGATTCGAACAACAAAAAATTCCATGCATGCATGTATTCGCTTGGGCACGCTGGTTGCTCCAAGTTGGTGTGCCCGCCGGCCTGGGTGCATTCTATACATAGGATGTACCCAGGTGTATTATAGTAAAACAGTATATATATATATATATATATATATATATATATATATATATATATTCTGTGGCCACTTTGAGTTACGATAATTACTGTACTAATTTACGAGATTACGGTAACTCTCTCATAAGTGATTTACTATAACATTATGGTAAGTGT